AATTTGATAATATATAGAACAGAAAAATTATTAAATCATAATAACTAATAATATTCTATCATGTGAATTATACATACCAATCATATTAATCATATTTTGAATATATGATAATAGGAAATACTAAAAATTCCATTATAACTATTAAAGTTAATGTTAAAGAAATCTTAACTATAAAAACATTTATAACAAAATAAGAAAAAAAATGCATAATATTAAAGACTATATTAAAGATTATTTAATAACATATTCTTATTTAATAATTATATATTTAAAAAAAATTCCTTTACATTTTAAAGTTCCTACAAATACTTTGATGTGATCAAGCCATTTATATTATATTATATTTAATAAATTTAAATTTTTATTTTTAGATTTTAGCAATTGTATATGATAATATAGCAAATATTGATATAATGATACAAAAAAATTTTTTAAGTTTAAATTGAATTGGATCTAAAGATGAGAGATGAAACTCAAAAAAGGCAATTAATAAATAGCCGAAATTATATTAAAACATAGTGAGGGGTACGACAAAATCCCAAAACCTGAAATTAGCTGAAACTATATTAAAAACATAGTAAGGGATATGACGAAATTATTTTGAGTGAGTTTCGGCTGACATCTTTAATTGGATCCATATCATCAACATGTTACATATCTTGCTCATATTATTAATATATTTGTATAAAAAGTACTTAAAAATCTTTATATATTAGAATTAGATAATGAAAATGCCTTAAATGAAGAGATTGAAACTAATAAATATTTACAAAATATTATATATAAAGTAAGTTATATTTTATTATTTAATAAAAAAATACTTTTATAATTAATTTAATTTTTATTTTTATTATAATTATTAAGCTTAGAAAATTAATAGTATAAATTTATACTTTACCTTAACAATGTGAAAGATTTTATAATATATTGCTTTAAATCTTTAAAATTAGAATTAATTATAAATATTAAAACCTGTTAAAATTCTACAAATATGATATTAAAAAGAGCTATTTTATTAAAAAATGCTTTTCATAATATAGCATTATCTGATGAAAAACTTAATATATATATTCTTACAAATTATAAATGAAATGTATTAAAGAAATATATGAATTTTTACAGGTTTGTAAATTATTCAAAAATTTTATTTAAAAATATATTATATATATTTAGTAATAATTAATTATATTTAGTATTTTAAAAAGGATTAGGTTTTATTACATTCTACACTTACATATAGTGTTTCAGTTTATAATTATTTAATAGATAAACTTGAAGATATAATTAAAATGATAATAATAGAACTGAAATTAAAAATTTAGTAAAATTAGCAAGAGATAAAATTTTAGAATATTATCTATTACAGATAGATATATTTATGTTATTGTTATTGGTTAGTTAAAATTAGATATTTTTTATTTTTATATAATTTTATTAATAATTTTATTTATAATTAATAGTAATAAATTTAAAGTTAAAATTACAATATTATAAAAATAATAATTGGGAATCTTATTATATTAATAAAGCAAAAAAAATTATTATTGATGTTTGGGAAAAAAAATACAAAAATATTGCAGATATTAGTCAATCTTCTAATAATTTAGAAGATGATATTCTTACTCATATTTTTTAAAAAAAAAAAATAAATCACAAAAATAAGCTTAAATCTTATCTTAAAGATCCAATAGTATATAATAAAACTAATATTTTATTATGATGAAAAGTAAATATTATAAAAAAAAATATTTATTATAACAATTTATTTCTTTTTTTAATTTATTAAATTGTTATAAAGCTTTATAAAAAAGAATATTTAAATTTTTCTAAAATAGCTAAAGATTATTTAATTATTCTAGGTTAATATAAATATTATGATTGTAATTATTTTATAAATTATATTTACTATTAAAAATTTATTATTTTTTAGCTATAGAAAGAATTTTTTTAGATAAAACAGATTTAGTAATATAAAAATGATACAGTTTAAAAGGTAAATTAATTTATAAATAAATGATGGTTAAAATCAGATTTATTTTAAAAAGAGAGAATAAAATTTATTTTTAAAAATAATACTTTGAAGTAATTTATTTTTTTATATAAAGATTTATTATATATTCATTTTTAGTTTATGTTTTATATTTATTTTTATTATTTTTAAGATTGTTTAAATTTTTTTAATTATTTTTTTGCTAATAAATTAAATTCAATTTATTATATAACTTAAATAAATATAAATTTATATTCTGCTCTATCTATAAGTTAATTCACATTTAATAAATATTTCAGAAGCATTTTTTTTCAAAGATAATAATCTGAAGAAGTTGTTAGGAAGAGGAGTTGATTAGTTTAAAAAATATAAATTTAAATTTATGTTAAAATAATATTGATATTAAATTAAATAAATTTTTTACCTTGATTTCTGGTGGCCAATCTTGCATTCCTTTTTTCTTGAACTTAAGATGCTAAATAACATAATATTAAATTTTAATAATGATTTTTTTTCAATTAATATCAATTGGAAAGTTTTATTATTCCAACCTGATCTCTCCCAAAATGAGGGGCGTTGGCATTGGCATTGGTGTTGGTGTGATAATTATATATTTATAACTAATTATAATAAAAAAAATATTTAATATTTATAAATAAATTCTTTTTTATTTTATTATTAATATTTTACTTACTTTCACAAAGGTTTATTTTGTGAAAATGTACAGTCTTTTGCCATATGATCACTTGTAACCCAACATTTAAAATAATAATTACGATATTCAATTAAAATATCTGGACAGTAATAAATTCAATGACTTAATCAATTACAAAAATAACACATATTCTTATAAAGCAGATTTGCTACTGTTAATATTATTATGGTATTTGATAATTTATTATAATTAAATTAGAAAATAATTAAAAAAAATTAAAATTATTATATAAAATATATAAATATTATATTATTTATGTTGATGATGATGATGATGATATTGGTGATATTGATGATATTATTTGTACTATTGTTGATAATGATGATATTGATGATGGTGATGGTAATGGTAATGGTAATGATGGTAGTAATATATATGTTTTTTCTTTTATACTAATATATTAATAAAAAATTATTATTATAAAAAAATTACTTATTATTTTTTTATTTAAAAAAAATATATACTAACTAAGATGGTAACAGTACTGAAGAAAAACGTCTTAATCGAAGAAAAATTATTGTTAATGATGATGATGATGATTACGATGGAGAAAATAATGATGAAAGTGATGTTGATAATAATGATTTTGTTGTATGTTTATGAAGTTTAAAAATCCATTTTGCAGATAATTCATGTAATTCTAAAAGTCTTTTTTGTTGTTTATCGCTTTGTTATTATTTGTATTTTCATCCATTTTTTATTTTTTTTTTTTAAAAAAAAATAAAAATGTGTTTTTAAAAAAACTCACTTAAATAAAGTTTTTTTTAAAAAAATACATGTTTAATCTTTTTTTAGATAAATTAGATAAAAAATATTTTCATGAAAATTATTCAAATAATTGATTAAAAAATAATACAATCAAATAATAGTAATATTTATATACTTAAAATTGAAGGAATTAAACAACAAATTGATAAACTCTTTCTATAAAAAGAAATAAAGCTTTAAATTTTTTTGATACAATAAACAAGTTTGAGAATTCTTATACAATTATAATATATAAATTACAATAAGAATTCTTACACAATTAATTTTCTTTTATGAATTTTAATTAGTAGATCAAAAATAATCAATTTAAATTATTTCATAATTTTATTTTTTAAAATATACAATTGCTTTTAAAAGAAAATTTAAAGTCTAATTATTAATATGCAATTTACAGTTTTCACAGTTTTCACAATTTTTACAATTTTATAATTCAATTTTAAATTATAGAAATTAAATAAATTAAATCAATGCATTTATCACTATTTAACCTGCAGCTGAAAATTTGGCTGAGTTAAATCCAATTTAAACCAGTTTACTTAAAATTTTTACTTGACTAAAAATACTGATTTTATTAATAATGCAATACAATAAGTTTTTATCAGCATTATATTCACTTTATTAAGTTTGATGAAGAATTCAAGGAGAATTTATTGTCTTACCAAATTTTATTTTAAAGAAAAATACTACAGAATTAATTTCTTTTTCTATATAATTTAATAAAATAAAATCTTCTTTTTAATTGTATAAAAAATCCTTTTAGATTTATTTTACAAGCTAAATAATTTACTTTGTATATTAATTTGGTTTTTTAAGAAAAATTTTTAAAAATTAATACTTATTAATAAAAATTAAAATTAAAAATATTTTCTTTATCATCAACTTTACTTTTTATTAAACTAGCTTTTATTTTAAATATGATGTATTAGTTTTTCTTTTAAGTTGATAATACTTAAATAACCTTTTTAAATAAATGTTAATAATTATATTTAACTTTTTTTTATAAAAATGTAATTATCAGATTATTTCTTTTGATATATTAGAGAAAATTAGTTAATATTAAAGATGAGAACTGTAATTAATATGTTGCAACTTTTAATGTTGCAACTTATGTTGCAATTAGTTTTAACCTATATATATTGCAACTTATAATGTTACAACATATGTTGCAACTAATTTTAGCTTATATTGCAACATTTTGTAAATTTGAATTTAATTGCTGTACCATCTTTAGTTAATATACTCAGATTTGACATAAAATTACAATATTTTAAATTTTTATTATTTTTATTTTTATTACTCTTTATATATTATATATTTTAATAAATTTGATAAATTTTAATAAATTTATTATAATATCATATTATTAGAAAAAGAAAAAATAAGCAATTTTAACTTTTTTAATAATAGTTTTAATTAGTATGCAAATATAATAAACTTAAAACTTAAATACTTATTAACAAAGTTGATAAAATTTATAATATATATTTCATTATATAATAAGATAATAAAGATATTACTAAATTAAAAATGGCAGTCGTTTACTATATGGAAAGGATCTACACAAATATTTTGGACAAATTTTTATTAAGAAATAAAAGTTTTTCCGAAGCTTTTTTTTTGCATCAAGACAGGTAAAAATTTTTATTACATTCTAACTTCTCGTTTGTTTTTCTTCATACGTTATGCTAACAGTTTATTTTCATTACAACCTCCTGTAAATAAGAAAACAGTAAAGATTTTAATAAACAGCCATTAGAACCGATATTCACTCCAAAACTTCTAAAAACACTTCAATTTCCGCTGGACAGGTTAAGATCAGAAAAAGAGAACTTCATGAAAAGATCACCTAAAGGTATTTTATTGTCTAATACTCCAAAAAAACATAAATGATAAATAACACATTATCTAACTTAATATCTTTTTTAACCAAAATAACGAAGGTAATTGTAAAGTAATTGAAACATGGTGTTCATACTGTTGTTATAACTTTTATGCAGTTGTGGCATCTAGCGGTATGTATCACTGATTTACGTTCGCCTTCACGGAAGTGTTAAGCCTAGAAAAAAAACGAAGTGACTAAATTTCTTTTTATTATTATTGAATTAGATTAGATTTTATTGCTTCATTCCTGATGCAATAAAGATGATCTAAAATGGCTCAATTAGGGACAATGGGTCTGATTTCAAATTATCATTTAACAAAATTTATTTAAGGTCAATTTTATCAATTTTATCGTCGGAATCGGTAACATCTTGAGTCAGTCGGATTTCGTGCTCAATGCACGCTTTAAAGAACGTAAACAACGAAAAGTTACAATTTAAAATAATATAAGGCAGAACC